GATTCTGTCTTGCCTGGCCCTCAGGCAATTGTCTACAGGCATGTTGAGTGTTTTCCCAACAGGGAGGTGCAATTGCTTCTACCTGGAGGCTACTTGTTATTCTCACCTCTTAATGGACCTCAGAAACTCCACACCATGGGGTAAGGTGTTTTCCAATAGTGTGGGTCAACTGTCTTCCCTCCAGGCAAAGCTGGCTGTATGGCAAATGTCTGGGTGAGAAAGATGATCTCTGTAGTGTGAGGGAATAATTCTGCACAGGAAATCAGGGTATCTGCCTTCTGGCCTCTAACCCCAGTGCCCCCAATCCTAGCTTCTGCTCACACAGCTCCAGTCCACTCTGCCCTCCCTCTTCTGGAGCACAAGGTGAGTGGTTCCAAGGGAATTTTGTGTGTTGCCCCTTTACAAGGGTGCCTGCATTTCAGCCAACTCTCCCTGGCAGACAGCAAAACCACTGCTTTCACAGCCCAATGTTGTGTGGCTCCTCTTCTTAGTTCTGAGACCCCAGAGCTGAGATATTTCTCTGGAACTTCAGTTGCTTTCTGAAGGAACGTGGCCAGCCCTTTTGCACCTCCGCCCCTCCTACCAGTCTCTATGCAGTCTCCACTTTCTGTCCTCAGTTATCAGGATTCTCTCTAGCAATTCTTTTGTTGATTGCTCAGGAAGTTTTTTTCTGTATTATATTTGTAATTCCAGTTTGGCCCTGGGAGCATGTCTGTGAAGCATCCACTTACTCCACCACCATTTTTAATCTCCTTGACTTTAAAAATTTGGCGGAAATATATTTCACAACCAAACTTTATAAAGCAATAATATATGATGCTAGAATATAGGAAAGTTCTAATTTTTTAAATATATGTTTTTATTGATTTAAGAGAAAGGAAGGAAGAGGAAGAGAGAGTTAGAAACATTGATGAGAGAGAATCATCAACTGGCTGCCTCTTGCACAGCCTCTACTGGGGATCCAGCCTGCAACACAGACCTAAAATGAAACCCTGACCTCCTGGCTCATGGGTTGAGGCTCAAACACTGAGTTACACTGACCAGGCAGGAAAGTTCTGTTTTTACCTGTGATTTTTGTTGTTGAATTTTTATGAACTTATTTGAGCCAAACTCATGACATGTGCTGGGGAACAAGATCTCAAATGTCCCATTACCTGAGATTTTTTGTCTTAAAATATATATTAACAGTTACATTCCTACTTTTACCCACATTTTGGAACACTTTCAAATATAATAACAGATAGAATCATTAATAAAATGCTTTTGTCATTTTTTTAATATTTTAAAGCAAAACAAGATCATAAACAAGATCACTAATATTTTATTTATTTACTTATTTTTATAATTTTAAAGTAAAATACTTTAGTAACATTTACGAGGCTTACAAGCTCTCTCCAGACCAGGACCCACCTGGCATCTCGGCAGCTGACTAGTTAAAGAGCTCTTTGCAGGCAACTCAGCCAGTCTTCACATCTGTTTTAATTAGAGGTGGGAGGGGGAGAGGGGAAGAAGTTCCCAGGTCAGGAGCATGCTGGCCATGCAGTAGCCCTTGAGCTTTGGAGAAGTGGGACCTGGGAGGAGCCAAGTGCTACCACACCCTCTGAGGGCTGAGAGGGCAGTTCAAGGGTAGGGTGCACCCAGGTGAGAGGTAGCTGATGTTTGTGCCTCATTGGGGCACTCAGCCTTTTTACCTGGATCGGGGAACACCTTTGAATTCTAACATTGCTGGTTCCCTTTTTACTTCTTCCATTTTCACCTGGGGATTCTCTCTAGTTTAGAATTGATCCATGTGTTTAGTTTATATGAAGACTAGATGCCCGTTGCAGGAAGATTCCTGCAAGAATAGGGCTTCCTCGGGCCTATTCCTGCAAGAATAGGGCTTCCTGAGAACAGAACAAAGCAGAGAAGGGAGCGAAGCCCACCTGGCTTCACTCCCTTCTCTGCTGCCTCGGCTCCCTCCCTTCTCTGCCACCTGGGCTCTCTCCCTTCTCCGCCGCTGTGCTCCCTCACCAGGTCACAGATCCACGGCCTGGTTCCCGTGGGCAGCCTCGCCGGGTCAGGGATCGCGGGCCCCGGGCCCACAGGCAGCCTCGCGAGCTGAGGGTCCCACCTGCAGTATGCAAATTGGCCGCCATCTTTGTTGGCAGTTAATTTGCATATCTCGCTGATTGGCCCATGGGAGGCATAGTGAAGGTAAGGTCAATTACCATGTTTGTATATTATTAGATAGGATATTTGGCATCTGATAAAAGACTCAAAATGCTGACAGGATTTAATATTCTTTTAGTGCTAGGTGGGAAAACTGGTCTTGTCTGAGAAAATAGCCCAGTTCAGGCAAAGATGAGTGAGTTAACAAGATGCTAAGAAATGTGGCCACGACCTTTGGACGTGGCCACAACCTTTCAATGCCACTGTCTCTGCTTCACCGTCTTCCGCCAGCCCCCAGCTAACCAATGTGCAGCACCTCACAGACATTGATGTGAAGATGTGTAAACCCATATTGTTCTCTCTCCTCACTCCACTTCCATCTTATGACTTAGAACTTGGGCAGTTTTACAAAACTGCACTCAGCACAAATGGGTGCACATGCAAATATGTAATTTACAGCTAAAGTTATGTAAAGTGCTGTCTCAGTTATAAAGACCTGATCCAGCCACCAGCATGTTGGCTCTATGAAGGCCAACACCTCAGCTCTCGCATTTCTTGCACAAAGTAGGTGATCAGTAAATACCTACTGAGTTAATAGATGAATCTAAACGTGTCCTCCAGATGCTTGGCCGTCAGAACGGTTGCACTGGCCAATCATTTTCTGAGAAAATAATACATCTCAGAAAATAATACATCCTTGGGCGTTGTAGGCTCTACCTGTATAGAAGGTGCCTGGGACATGGTGCAATTCATTTTACACAGAAACAGGTACAGAGGAGATAGTAACTTGTGCAAGGTCACGACTAGGAGACGACCCTGGACTTGAGCTGAAGAATTTCTTCTCTCCCCAGACTCGGGGCCTTGCGTCTGTGCTCAGAAGCTGCATTTATAGCGTCAGATCACTAATATTTTAATGCAATAGATTAAGAAGTCAAAATTAATGCCAAAAATATCTGTGATGAACAAAATATCAAAGTTTTAAATAGAGACAGACTTTGACAGTATCTAGGCAAGCCATATTGGAGCATGAAGTAAAAGGAAAAGTGAGTGCCCCCACAGACATGCCTGTGGATTTTCTTTAATGATTGATTTTCCCTCAAATTGTTAAAGTAGTTGAGAAAAGCCTTGAATCAGTGAAATACAAATATGTTAAAACTAACAGTGTGATTTTTATGTTGAAATGTTTTATTCACACCCAAACCAGAATTTGTTATACTTTTTCTTTCCTGGCTTTAAGGGATGCAAATTTCATATTTTTTCAATTACTATAATGTTCTGGAATAATATTACCATTTAAAAATACATTAAAGTATATATTTAGGGGCACACATTTTTTCTTTTGCCTTGGATCCCAATATGGCCCAGCATAGGCACTGGTGGGAAAGAAAAACCAAATAGTGCCAAAACCTGCGTGGCCAGCTCTTCCCAATTCTGTATTCACTGACTCTGGTAGCTTGAAATCCATCACGGTGGGGATATTTACACCAAGGAAATTGGTAGTGCTTAAAATCAGGATTATTTCCTTCTGGGACAGCTGGATTTTAATATTTACCAGCACACTTTGGGAAGAAACTCAGTCTACAAAGGAAAATCTGGGATTTATTGCCAGGTGAAAGGAGAATGGGTTCTGGAAGGCAAAAAAAAGTGTATCCACAGTAAAGGCTTATCTGAAGACATATGAGGTCTTGTATTGGGTCTTTGATGCTAATTCAGATAGCCCCATACACTACTAAGTACTTAAGCACAGTCTTTCATTTTATTATTTATTCAAATCATTTGTTTAAAAAATTAAGTTTAGCCCTGGCCCATGTAGTTAGAGCATCATCTCAAGCACTGAAGGGTTGTGGGTTTGATTCCCAGTCAGGGCAGATACCCAGATTGCAAGTTCTATCCCCAGTCAGGGTGCATACCGGAGGGAACCAAAATTTCTCTCACACATCAATTTCTCTCTTTCTCTCCTTTCCTCTCTCTAAAAAATCAATAAAAACATCCTCAGGTAAGCATTAAAACAAGTATTAATTAATTAAAATTTTAATTTAATGTGTTTACTATTTGTATTTATTTTATTTCACGTATTTTAAATTAATTATTGCTTTTAATTTAATTTCATTTTTAAAATTCTATTTTATTTTTATTTGATTTAAACCACTGAGAGGCACTGGGTTGAAAACAGACTCTAGAACCAGACTACCAGGCTCATATTCCAGTTCTATTCTACTAGTTGTGTGGCTCTGGGCAAGTTACTTCAGCTCTCTATTCTCCAATTTCCCCATCATTATAAGTTTATGTGTTTTGTTTTGTTTTAAGACTTTTTATTGAGAGAGAGAGAGAGAGAGAAGAGAGAGTGCGAGCAATGGAGAGGGAGAGAGAGAGAGAAACATCAATGTGAGAGTGATACATCCATCGGCGGCTTCCTGCATGACTGAAACCTGGGATCAAGCCCAAGACCTGGGCACGTGCCTTGACCTGGAATCAAACCGGCAATCTTTCTATATATGGGACAATGGCCAACCAACTGAGCCACACCGGCTAGGGCCCGATTCCCCATCTTTGAAATGGGAATAATAGCGGTACCTTATTATAAAGATTAAATGAGTTAACCAGAATAAAGGAAGCTTCTAGGCACATAGGAAGATTTCTAAGGCTTTGCTGTTTTATTGTTATTAATTTATAATGTTGTTATTATATCATACAATAGTACGAGGTAGATGTTTGTATTGCCTCCTCCCTATAAGGAAGGAAGCTGAGACACAGAGAGGTTGAGTAACTAGCTCCCAGTCACACAGCTAAGACTGGAAGATACCATCTAGGCTACAGTAATCCACAGAACAGTGCCCTGATGACCAGCTGTGGCTCTATCTTTCCTTTTATTCACCCACCTCCCCCTTCCCTCAACACTGTCCAGCCTGAAGGAATCAGAATGAACAAGACTGTGGCCGTTAAGACACTGGATCCACAACACCTGGGCCAGAGTGAGTCAGCGCAGGAGTGGGGGTGAGGCCTGGGTGGTGTGCAGGGCCTGGTGAAAGGAGGCTGGTGCCAAGGGTGTCTCCCATTCCACCGACAGACGGTGTGCAGCGAGTGGAGGTCAAGGCTGCAGACCTCAGTGACCAAGTCCCTGACACAGAGTCAGAAACCAGGATCCTCCTGCAGGGTGAGATGGCCTTGGTCCAAGCACATGGGGCCCAGGAAGGTGTGGGAGCCATGACCCCCAAAGAGGGCACCCAGTTCCATCACTTCCGGGAAGATTGAACCATGATGCCTCCCTCCTTCTCATGTACTAGAACAGCCTCTCCTTGATGTGCTCACAGAAGGCTTCAGGCAGTACTTAGCTTCTGCTGCTAAAGAAGCTTCAATGAGAAGTGATAGAGTTCAAGAACAGAAATTCTAGAATGAATTGCCCAGGATGGAGGACTGGGAGGAGAAGGCACAGGAAGGAGCTAGCAAAGCCCCTTGCAACCTCTGAGCTCTTAGGTTTGGGATAGAAACTCTTGGTTTCCTGATCTGTGATGAAGGCAAATAGCGGTACCTGTTTCGAGGGCTGTTGGGAAATTAAATGAGATGCTTTATAGTGTTTGCTATATAGGTTCTCTTAGAAGGGAGTTTGGCAAATGGCATTAAGCGTGATAGACATATTCATAACCATTGTTCCTGGAATTATTTTACCACTGGTGGCACATGAGGACTCAGGGACAGTCCCCCTGGCCCCCTACAGTCACATGCCTCCAGCCGCCAGCTGTCCCTGACTCCCTGACTCTTTGGCTCTGGCTGGTTGGAGCCTGAGAAGGCTGGGGGCAGCCCCAACCCTCTTCCCCCCCACAGTAGGTCTTGCTGCGTGAATGCCTTCCTTCCTCCTGGCTGCAGGGACCCCAGTGGCCCAGATGGCAGAGGAGGCCATTGATGGGCAGCAGCTGGGGCACCTCATTGTGACCCCCTCGGGCTGTGGAGAGCAGAACATGATCTACATGACGCCCACTGTCATCGCGGTGCACTACCTGGACCACTCTGAGCAGTGGGACAAGTTTGGCATTGACAAGCGGCAGGAAGCCGTGGATCTCATCAAGAAGGGTATATCCCCTTCCCCTATTGGAGGCCCCCACTCTGAGGCCCCTCTCTGAGCTCCTTCCTCCTCTGAGGCCCCGCCCCTTCTTGTGACCCCACCCCTTCTCTGAGACCTCCTGCTCTCCCTTCTTTGAGACCCTGGTCATTCCGAGTTTCCTCTCCCAATGAACTCCCTTGAAAGCCCTTCTCTCTCTGAACCTCCTCTCCTCTGAGAAGCCCTTACTCCTCCTCACTCTGATGCCTGCACCCTTTCAGAGTCCCTCCACCGTGTAAGCTCCTCTCCCCTCCAGACATTTCTCCTTATCCTGAGCCCCCTCTTTCCTCTCTGAACCTCACCTTCCCCCCTTCACAGAATCCTTGTTCCTCTCTAAGCCTCTCTCCTTCCTGGCATACCCGCATCATCCACTGCCTCCACTCAGCCCTCAATCCTCCAGTGACACCTCTCTCTTCCTTGCAGGGTACACGCAGCAACTGAGCTACAGACATCCCAACAAGGCCTTTGCGGCCTACCAGAGTCGGAAGTCCAGCACCTGGTGAGCCTGCCCATCCTTTGCCCTGTACACCTTGAGCAGGGCCTGGGCCCTGGCCTGGGTTAATCTAGGCTGACCTCCCCCACACAGCCCTGTGCCTCTGGGGCCCTCCACCTTCAGAGTCAAGGTGCCCACTAGCTGAGTCACCTGCCGTCACTAAGCACTGCCTACAAGCAACATTGGGTCCTGAGGCCTGGCCCGGGAAACTGGGCACACATGAGCAGGCCCTGCCCCTCTCTGCTCCTTGCTTGGCTGGGATGGCAGTCTCTGGATCCCAGAGCCAATTGGCTCATGCTCTGTGCCCACCCCCAGGCTGACAGCCTACGTGGTCAAGGTCTTCTCTCTGGCCACCAACCTCATCACCATTGACTCCGAAGTCATCTGTGGGGCTGTCAAGTGGCTGATCCTGGAGAAGCAGAGGCGTGATGGAGTCTTCCAGGAGGATTCGCCCGTTATACACCAAGAAATGATTGTAAGAGGCCGCATTCAGGCCAGGCTGGGGGAGAGGAGTGCCTGAGTGCCCCCCCGCCATGAACAGGAGACAGGCTCCGTCTGCCATTTGCCCAATTCCCAGCGTGGATTGGACAGAGAAATAAAGGAGCCACGATGGTCACTTCTCCTTTGCAAAAACCAGAGACCTCATGGTCCAGTGCAAAATGAGAGTTTCCTAGCCCCCGTGGCTTTGAAAACAACCCGAGAACTCCTTAGAATTGTGGTTCTCAAACTCTGGTCTCCAGGCCAAAAGCACCAGCATCAGCAACAAGTTTGTTAGAAATGGACATTCTTGGGCTGGATCCCAGATGCATGAATCAGAAACTTTGGGGGTGGGGCCTAGGAATCAGGGTTTTAATAAACCCCTGACTCAAGGTAATGCTGACGTGTGCTCAAGTGAGTGAACCACGGCTTCAGCCTGACCTTCGGGCTTCCAGCCTTGCAGCCTTCCCTCTCCACACTCCATCTGTACTTGCTCCAGTGCACAGGGCCTTTGCACATGCTGTTCCTACTGCCCTCTTTGACAGTTGAGTCCTACTCACTCTTCAGATTGTGGCTCCACCTCTCATCCCTTGGGGACACCTTTCCAACTGCCCTGACCAAGACACACCCCCACTATCCATTCTCACCGCCACATCCACTTCTGCACAGCACTCATCAGTTTGTAACGATAGATCTGTGATGAGCTGGTTGGCTCATGCCTGTCTCCCCTACGAGATGGGGAGCTCCATGAGGGCTGGAGCCATCTTACCCACAACACCAGCAACATTTACAGAATGAGTGAGTGAATGAATGGATACTAGAGTATGGCCCTCCTGTGAGACACTGGGGAGAGACCCACCCTTGCCCTGCCCCACTGATCCTACAGGGGGGTGGTTGGCATGAGAGGCACATGGGTGACCCCATCCTTACTCCCTCCTCCACACCCTAGGGTGGCTTGAATGATGCTGAGGAGAAAGATGTGTCCCTCACAGCCTTCGTTCTCATCGCACTGCAGGAGGCTAAAGATATTTGCGAGGGACAGATCAACGTAAGTGTGCCCTGACCTCCCCTCTCCTACCCAGGCACAGAGATTGTAGAGGTTCTTTAATCGCGGCATCTGCTTTGTCCTAAGGCAGTGGTTATCAACCTTCTGGCCCTTTTATACAGTTCCTTATGTTGTGACCCAACCATAAAATTATTTTCTTTGCTACTTCATAACTGTAATGTTGCTACTGTTATGAATCGTAATGGAAATATCTGTTATGCAGGATGGTCTTAGGCGACCACTGTGAAAGGGTCGTTCAACCGCCAAAGGGGTCAGGATCCACAGGTTGAGAACCGCTGTCCTAGGGTTTTGAGAGTGCGCTGTTTGACCTTTAGCTTTCCAAGTGGGGAACTCCAGGATCCCAACTTCAACAGCTGCTTCTCCCTCCTCAGGACCCCAGAAAAGAGAGGGAGGAGAGAAAGGCCATTACCTTTAAGGCCAGAGGAACCTTGTTTTAATCCTTGCAGATTTGAAATAAAGTATGATAGAAAAGAGACAGCTCTAGGGCAGTGGGGTCAGACAGACCTACATTCAGATCATTACTCTCAGGGACGTTCCATTACTGGGCCTCAGTGTGTGCATCTGTAAAATGGGTATAATAATTTTTTGTATTTTTTAGAACTCTCTGAGTTCTAGATGTAATACATGTGTAAACTACACTATGTAAAAACAGGGTAAGGCAAATCAATTAAGAAAAAACAACAACAAAGGTAGTAAACACTAAAAACTCATCACTTCTTAATTATTTTACTACCTTTTATCATTATCCATGCTCTTGAGGTTATTTATGTCTGTTGTACCTACACAGTGGACATACTTTATAATCTCTTCACAATTCTACAGTCAGTGACTCCATGCTGGTAGGTTGAAATCAGCCGTGGTTGTATTTAAACTATAAAAATCAGCAAACACTACAAAGCATATCTGCCTCTGCACTCATCTCATGGGTCTCACTGTTCTCCTCTGTGCAGTAGGGATGGTGATGAAAATAAAACCTACCTCATAGGATTTGGAGATTGAATGAGTGTATATGTGATTAGCACATCGTGAGTGTTGGCTCCAATGACGATGATGATTAGATAATAGGTGGACCCAGTGGTGTGTTAACCCTGGGTGCCTATTTGGGGCATCTCTTTCCCA